ATTCACAATTAACACTTCAACCTACTAAATTAAAATATAAAATTATACTTCAACCCAGGATTGACATTTATAAGTATGTATCATACAAATTAACTTTTGAATATTTATGAAATAAAGTGTATGGAGTACCATTCGGTAATATAAAGTGTTGATGGAAATCTTAAAAATCTCTTAATATGAGATTAATGGAAATAATTAAGAGCCATTACCAAAATAGAGGTGTCTCTAATGGGAATGATATGAAAGTTCTTAACATTTATTAAATAAAAACTTACAAAGCACAATATATTTAGGTTGGCTTGCTACCATTAAAATGCATAAATATGCATATCTTTTTAATTTTGTAGCTTTAAAATGTTGCCTCAGTTGCACATATTTCATAATAATTGTCACAGATTGGAAAGTCCATAAGGGGGAGTAAAGGAGAATGTATATTTTTTAAATTATTTTCTTTTGTTTCATTTGAAATGTATGATTTTCTGAGATCAGCAGAGGTGAATTAATTTCTCTAACACATATTTAAATTTTGAGCATATACTTATTCTGGTCCTACAGTTGCTTAAACAAAGCCTGTTTTGCTTTCAAAGTGGAATCCTCAATTCTGTTGGCTCCAAAATACAGCACCAATTGAAATCTTCAATTCACTGACAAAAAAATCAAATGTTTTCTAAACTCAGAGTCCATAATAAATAGCATCCAAACATGCACAGGTAGAAGTTAGAAGGAGGGGGTTTTGTATAGCAGAGAGACAAAAATATGGTCTTGTTCCAGAATACTAAGCAGTATCCACAGTAACAGAAAATTAATGAACAGGTTAAATCCCATCTAGGGTGAAAAAGAACAACACACAATGATCAGTTTACAGGTTTTATCAGTCATCTTTTTCATGTTGAACTATAGCTTAAAATTGGAGGTCAAGTAACCCCCTCCAGGTCTTTCTTAAGATTGCACAGATATTTCAAAGATACTTTTTCTTGCAAAAGAACTGTGAAATCTTGGCTTTTATAGTAACTTGACATACAAATCATGGTACAGACAACTTGCCTTCCTTAATTTGAAAACCTCAGCTAGGCATGTGGAAAGAATGAAATATTCATGAGGCTTATAATTCAATTGACTGCTCATCAAAAACTTACTAGGGTGCAAAGGATTTAATATCTTTGAGTTTACGAGTGCAGGCAAATAAGCTCCAATACAGCTGATTGTAAATAATGTAGTAAAACTAATATATCAAAACTACTGTGAGAAAACAGTAATGAAATTCATTCATTTTTACTGAATAAATGAAATAAATATTTAGTTATAATAAATTTAATTAAAATATGTTTAAAGGTTGAATAAAACCTGTTTGAAGCCCCAAATTAGAAACAAATCGTAATTTTTTTCTTTTTCTTTTACCTTTCAGAAATCCGCGTTAGACTTTAACGGGGGAAATTTTTTCAGACAGGAGAACTGTGTTCTTCCTAATTTATTGAATACGGATGATGACTGTGTAGTACCCTCTTTTCTGTTTCCTGAATATAAAAAGCAGTTGTAAAATTAGTTTTTTATTTTAAAGAGAAAAAAATAACAAAGAGAAGAGACTTAATATAAGGGCATATTTGTCCATCCAGCCGTGGAGTTGGGAAGGAAAGCACAGCGTGAAAGCCACCTGTCTTATTACTCTAAAAAATCATTCCAAGAGGGGGAGACGCCTGTGACACTCTGCCTCACAGGAGCTGAGAGATGCAGATTCTGCCCTGTGCATGCTGCCATGCAGGACGGTGTTGAGCGGCTCATAATCACCCTTAAGGACTTTAAGGAGAGAGGACATAACCTCCAAACCCACCATTTCTCATCCTGGACTTACTTAAGAAAAACACGGCTAGCAATTTGTCCTTCCACAGAAAAATGTCAGATGCCTCCCAAGCAGCTGCCTCTAGCCAGCAGTGTAGCAGGAGACTTCAGACTGGGCACCTACGATGTCTTCAAGAGTTCTACCTATGCTGTCTGCCAGCAGATTCAGTGTGTCTGTTTTAATATTTCAATCTTTGACCCATTTCAATTTCAGCTTAGAGCATGGCGGAGGCTTTCCCTACCTCTGCCAGCCAAAGCAGACCTCCCTCTCCTTCACTGCTTCTCTCTCAAGCTTCATCAAAACACCTTGTACATTTCCTTATAGGAAAATGTACATTTCCTTTATTATGAAAAATATGTTCTGTATTCATTTATTGATTTAGTGTTTACTTCTCCCTAAGAAAACATAAAATTTCTTTCTTTTTTTCAGTACTCAGGAGTGAATCCAAGGCTTTCACATGAATTTATAGCCTTAGCCACTTTTTTCCTTATCATTTACTTATTTACTTATTCATTTGACTTTGATACAGGGTCTCATTAAGTCACTAATTTGCGAAGCCTGGGCACGAACTTGCTATCCTCCAGCCTCAGCCTTCCAGAGTGCTGGAATTACACGTGCTTGACTGAAATGTAACAGTGTTGAGACAGGAAACAGCCCTGGGCAAAGAACCACTGTCATCCATGTGACAAATATTCAGAAATAGATCAGAACCTGGATGTGGAATACCAGCCAAGGAGAAAGGACCCTTGCCCCCATAAGGGCAGAGTGTAGTAGGTAAAATGTATGCTAAGTAAATAAGGATGCAAACAGATGTAAAGTTATACCTGCAAGGAGCGCTAGGAAGGAGAGAGAGCATTAGCTGATGAGGGAAACACATTGAGTGAAGGAGTCAGAAGAAACTTTCTAGAAGGAAATGACTTCTGAGCTAAGATGTACAATGACTAGACATTACTTAAGTGAGGGGCTTCTCAGCTGAGGGAACAGCACAGAAAAAGACACTGTGGCAATGCAGAAGATGACATAGAAGGGGGACTGGAAAACAAATCTACGAAGCTGCCGGGGATATAGCTCAGTGGCACAGCGCCTGCCTGGCAAGCATGAGGTCCTGAGATCGAGTCCTGGTACCAAAATAAACCCTATGAAGTTGGACGTAAGATGTTGGGAGCAGGGTAAAGAAATATATGCTAGAGATGGAAGGGTGAGACCACACTGGGGTTTGTGCCACTACTGTGAGGCTTTACTCTGTAGATGGCATTATTCTGAGAGTGATAGGAGCTTGTGTGTGTGTGTGTGTGTGTGTGTGTGTGTGTGCGTGCATGGATGTGTGTGCATGCATGTGCATGATTATGCACAGCTGAATGTCTTGACAGGTGAAAATCATCACATTTATGTTTTGTAGAGATGATCTTAGATATTCTGTATAGGAAGATTGGAGAGAGTTAACATTGGTATGAGTGGACCACAGAGGATGTCATGAAAATATCCCAGGAATGAAATGATGGAGGTTTATATTCAGATCATGCTGCTATGGTAAGAAATGAATAGACTGATCCCCAAAACATTTACAGACTAAAATTTAAAAGAATTGATCCTGGATAGGATAGGAAGGAAGATTCCAAGGATAACTTGCTGATCATTGGAGCTGATGAAATGGTATTGCCATTCCTTGAGAGAAGACACTGCAAGGACTGTTGGGAGGTCCTGAGGTCATGAGCTTTGGATTTGACAGATTAGATTAGAGAATTTGATGTTGGTTTGACTGTATTATGACTATGTTTCTTGAATTTCTAAGAGTTAGAGATTTATCTCTATCCTATTCAGATGAGATCGGGCTCGTTCAGGGTGGTATGGCCGTAGACTATCTCAATCCTATTCAGCCTGACTAGTTATTTTCACTTTTTAAAATATTTTTTGCTATTATCACTCTTTTACATCAAAATATAATTATGCAGGTTTTTTCACATACTCCGAAATTTGACAATGTGAATAAAGCTTCAAGTAGACCTAAATTCTGAACAGATCAATTTTACTCTAGTGAGAACTGATTGATTGGCTGCTGGTAGTTTCAACTCTAAAGGCCATCAGGTCAATAACTTAGAAGCAGCTATCAAAACTACTTATTAAAAAATAGTGGAAACGTCAACTACATTTACATGGTTCTTGAACAAAAATTGTCAAAATTTTGTTATATTTCATACAGACAGTCAAGCCAAGTCAAATGGCATTTGACAATATCAAACTAGAATAATTAAAAAGCATCTTCAGGCATTGGAACTTATGACATTTTTCTAACATATTTAGCCATCACTAGATTATCTACCTAATAGACAATGAAACCACGCAGAAGAAATTTTGACAAAATTAACTCTTACACTGACACCTATCTGTAACATTTTATTGCTAAAAATAAGCAGTTTTAAATGTACTTTAGTTTTTATTCTTGGTAGGTTGTCGTGATACACAATGATTACATTCATCTTGGGGACTTGATACGTACACACATCACATCTCCATCACCTTTACTTTACCTCCCATCTTCTCTCTTCCTCCTTCCTCTGATCTCCACGAAGTCTAACTAACTCCTTGTGTTCTTCCACAGCTCTTAGATTTGCAGTTTAAATCATTTGTACATCAGGTGACTTATATTAGAGAAACCATGTGACATTTATCTTTCTGCAATTTATTTATTTCATTTAACATTATGATCTCAAGATCCATTTTCTTACAAATGACTCAAATTTATCTTTCTTCATGGCTGAGTAATATGCACATATGTATATTTTTTTCGTTGACATTCATTTCTTGATGGGTATATAGGCTGCTCTTATATCTATTGTGGATTGTGTCACTATAAGTATGGATATGTACGTATCATTATAATATGATCACTTTAACTATTTATAGAAGATACTAAGAAGAACAGGCAGTCCAAATGGAATTTCTTTTTTCTGTGTTTTAGGGAATGACCATATTGATTTCCATAATGGTTTTAATGTTTTGCATGCCCACCAATAATGTAGAAGGGTTCCTTTTCCCAAAAACTTCATCAGCGTTTGTTTTGGTTTTTGTCCTTGATAATGGCCAGCCTTCCTAAGAAAAACAGCCACATTCTGTAAAGACAGCACCAGCTGCATTCTAATTTATTAAAAGAAATGACTCAGAATTAGTAAGATGACATTTGTTCTCTTTATTTTTCATCCTAATTTTGTAGAAATTCTGGGGTAGCACATGAGAATTCTTTCAGTTTTTCAAATAATTTTATGTATTTATTTTAATATTATTTTGAGAAAGATTATATATTTGCAAGGTATCCATCCTCACAATGTATCCATAGATTTATATCTATACCTATACCTATATTTATATCTATATCTACATATATATATATGTTTGTGTGCATATGTTTGTACACACAACCATGCTAAAAATAGTCAACAATTATGCTCATGTAATGTTTGACTTGAAGCATTATACAAAGTGCAGCTACTTTAAATAGTAACAGCTTTTAGAAACAATAACATTTGTCTAAGTTAAGTTAAAAGTTATATTTTTAACATGTTCTAAATGCAAAAATTATATTGGCCAAAAAATTAAATAATTGAATAAACGGTATCTTTCTAAGTAAACAAAGTAGGGACTAAGTTCTCATTTTGATACATTCATCCTATAAACAATCTGTTCACACATTAAACAAGTACTTAACAAAAGTGGAATTTGTTGATAATATAAACATAAAAACAGACCTCTCAGTTTAGCATTTTGTTTTACTACATTTTCCCTCTCGATTTGGTCAGTTGCTAAATGTTGTGATTTTATTTTAGACTTAAATCAAGTGAAATACACATGCAAAACATTACACTGGCTTCCATAAATTAATAAGAAGTATGTATGCAAGCAAACACCAGGAAAGCCATAATTGGCAAGCAATGATCTAGGACAGGGGTGACGAACTTATGCCATGCACACCACAGTGGGATGTTTGTATCATTAAAAGGTTTGCCCTCGCTCAAATAGGAGAATGTAACATTTGAGTTCTCAACTGACAGTGAAGAAACGGAAAACAAAAAACCAAAACTGAAAAAAATGTACTTCCCATTGGGAAAGAGTAGATGATCCATCACTAATGTCAACGATACAAACACCAGGCTTGACATTTTGTCCTGATTCTATAATAGGGTTACAACCACATGCACTTTGTTGGGTGTTTCACACAACGTTAGCTACATGTCTTTGGTATCATCTACCTCTAAGTGAATTCAGTAACCCTAACCTCTAAGCCTCCCATCTTACATTGAAAAACACTTACAAGCAGCTTACTGAAGGTTTTCAAATAAAACTCATTAACTCATTAACTTTCATCTAATTGAAATTGAAATCTAAAGATTGAAGAAAATAGAGAATATTCTGCTAAATTTCAGGAACATGTATATTCAGACAATTTATTTCAGCATTTCTTTTTATGTTAACAATCATGATTTTGACTTTATGTACAAAAACTGTCACCCTAGAAAATACAAAGATACAAAAAGACATATGAAGAAGAACATTGTAATTATTCATTATCTCATCTCTAGAAATAACCACCATCTCCCTTTTGGTGTCATTCTTTCTAATCTATTCCTATCCATTTATAATTTTAATACAATTAAAATCACATCATATATTAAGATTTTTGTGCTTTTTTCCTTAACATTGTATCACCATACTTTCACATGTTTTTATGTATTAAGATCATGAATTTTAAACCCTCTGAAGTTTGATCTATAATAGTGTATTTGAAAGGTAAAACATTTAAAGGTGTGTTGCTATTTGCAGTCTTTGTGATTAGAAATATAACTTTGCAACTCTTTTCTACACGTTGGAATCCAGTACCCTGAACTATTACAGGGAACATAGATGCTCCAACTTTAAGACATTATAAATCATTTAACAGACATAAAAAGAGTCTAACTTAAATTTCCAGGTAAAAATAATACAAATAATAAAAAAAACTCTTCCTGTTCTAAGGAAACAAAGTAGAAACACATTTCTCTCAAAGTGTGTTTTCCAGTCTCCCTGTAGCTGATGCTGCTTCCAGTGACCCTCTTAGCATTGAGAAGAATGCACCAACTTCTTCTCTGTTACTGACTTTTTGATGCAGTCTCAAAGACAAGATCTAATCAGAAGAGTCTTTTGGAATAGCTGGCATGCTGAGGATAGGACTCTCTTCTGCAGCTCCAAAGCAGGGAGAAATCTTCATTTGAAAATCAGCTGTGAGTGCTGCAGAAAATAGTCAACATTCTCACAGTGTTCACCAAGTAACAGTGCAAAGCTGACTACATGTGAAACACTTATCTGTAACTTTTATTGTCTCTATAGCCAAAATAAGGTGGAAAATTGAAACACTAGATAATTGAAATCTGTAAGCAACAAGGAAATGTACAACATCTTTTCAAGAAATAGCCTCACATTAAATTTAAAATATTCATTTTATTTCAAATATGTATTTTACTTGGAAAATTCATCAAAACCACTATGTTTTAACTCAGTCTGGGAGTGTTATTATATTCTTTTTATTCCACTTAACAGTGAGCTGTTAAAGTTTCTAAAACACACAGAAAACGAGGTTTTTTTTAAAAAAAAATAGAATAACAAGTGTGCTGTTCAGTGAGTTAGAGTTCAAATTGTGTGAAAATGACAGCTCACAAAGCTGCAGGTTCCATCAGTCTGAGAACTGGCTAGGCACAGAAGCTGACAGATCAGCCTTGGGTCCGAACCAGGAAGGCAGCCATTCTTGGTCGAATGCCTACTGCCTACTCAGGAAGGCAGCCATTCTTGGTCAAAGGTAACCTGATCACATCTACCCCTTCCCTGAAGCTACTGTAAAGATACACTTAGAACCCAGCCTCAGAGTTCCACTTGACCCTCCCCAAACAGTGATGCAAACTGGCAAATAACTTTTCGGTCTTTGCTCAGGAACTGATGCAGGAGTGGGGCCCCAGCTCTTACTGATGGCTGCTATGATGGCGAGCAGCTGTTGGCTCCATCCTCAGCCCTCAGGTGTCCCTCACATCAAAGCCTTGCTGTGTGTCCCCCTGATCAGTTCCATGACAGCTACCGCACGTAGTGGTCCAATCTCAAAGTAAGAAATGTGTTTATCAGAAAAGGCTAAAACTCACCCACTGGCAGACAGATCTTTGCTTCTCACATTTGAAAGCACAGGTTCAGAATAGAAAAAGGATTTAAACCACCAGGTGGATTCTGCCACTTCCGGTAACCCTATCAAATAACATTCATATTAAAATCCCGTATCAAAACAATTTAAGAGATAAACAGCACAGGGAAATAAGGAAGATGGCATTAAGATACAAAGTAAGCACCTGGTAGAGGTTTCTCTTCATCTCCGATGCTGGCAGAGTCAGTGCCAGTCACTGAACTAAGTGAAGAGATACTAGGTTCTGTAGGAAACAGATATGAAAAAGGCAAGTAAATAACAAAGCAACACGCACATACATATTGTCTATGGAGATGAAATTTCCAGTAGCAGGGTTTGAAATAATTTAATCTTAGCTCATGAATTTAGTAAATGAAAACTTGATCTAATCCATGAAAAGTCTTCCATAGTAAAAATGATTACATTTTCTACTAACAAGGCATATTACTATGGCAAATAACTCTCTTCTCTCTTCCTCAATAGATATAGATATAGAATTTAAAATATGTGATAAATGTTGTCAAATTCTGCAACTCAAGAAGTACAAAATATAAATAAAAAGAACAAAGATAAAAAGAAGTACAAGATCAAAAATGTCTGCTGTACTATGTTAAAACATTACATAGACATACATTAATGCTATAAAAATTACCAAGTTTAAACATTAAGAAGTTATTTTAAAAGAATATTTTTGTGTTATTCAGCTTATACTGATAAGTCATTTGTATGATCAGAATATAACTTCCGCTGATAACAGCAGAATAATGTAACCTTTGTACAAAAAGAATAAATTCATAGATATTTGAACCATTACACACAATCCTTGAAATAAGAATTTTTTACAGGTTATTGGTGTACATGCTTTCAATAAATGTTAATTTTGTCCTAAAATGCTCATTTAACTTTATAAAATTTCTCAATCTTCTTTAAGAAGCTACACTGTTTTCTTCATCTATGAATAAGCACAAATGAATAGATTAATAACAATAAAATTGACCAGGCAGATACTGACCTATTATTTGCAGCAGAAGATGGAAATTGTAAAACTCTTTGAAGCAAAGTCATGCTGCCCCCTTTTCTAAAGAACTGAATAATAGTCTATTTATGCAAAAGTTTCAGATTTTAAAATACTCTAAGGAATACAAAATACATGAAACAACAGCTAACACTGCTAAAGCCCAGGTATGAGCTAGGGTAACATGGTTTTGGGAGATTTCTGCCTTCAATCTTTGTTTCCTCTACTGTCAAGCTTTCTCCCTTAAATTCTGCACATGATACACAGCTCCTGCCTCACAAAGATCGCCTCACACCACGTTCTCCAGGGGTATTCCGTAGTGAGGACACAACTTACTTCGATAATACTGATTTTTGGCCAGAAGGCAACCAATAGAAGGAACTGACGCCATGGCTTCCAGCGAGAGAGCTCGGAGAGCAGGTGAGGAGCAATCTGAGGAACAGTGACAGAAAAGGGACATTCCTATTAGCACGTGGAGTTTCCTTTTCCTTTTCTGTGTGAATTGTTTTTGCAAAGCGGTATCATTTGATGTTTAATAAATATCTCATAACAGGAACTTAAGTATTTACACAAAGTTGCAAATATGAAGTAGTGAAGAAAAATGAAGCGTGCTTATAGTCCCAGAACTTTAAGAGGAGCATGCAAAAAGTTAGAGAAAAATTACATAAAAATGACTGGAGATGAAGCTTTGTGCCAAGGCCCGGAGTTCAACCCCTATGTTGGAACAAAAACAATAATCAACTAGGACATTTACTTGGGGAGGAAACAGGAAAAACTACATATTCAGCTAAAAACAATGTCCACACAATTTATTCCACCTAAAGCAAACTTAAAAGTAGAAAAAATAAAGTTAACACAGACACAGCATAACAGCTCACCTATTTTCCCAATTTGTGCTTTGAGAACAAATGTGGCTTGAATATTTCTTCAGAAACACACACTAAAAGCACCGACTCTTAGTAATATGAGAGAGGCTGCGACAGGCCGAAACCAGGAATCTACTGCAGTGCTTGGTAATGTCATCGGGAGCCCTGAGGACACTTTATGCGGGAGTCCAGGCTGGTTGAAGCCTGCGCAGTGGGCGATGTGACGTCAGGCGGCGCCCAGCCAGACAGAGGCTGTGAGGGAACACGCTCCGCTCCTCTGCCCTCCAGCTGCCCTTCTCGGTCCTTCCAGCTTGCCAGCAGGCCAACACAGGCTGCAGTCAGCAGGACATTTGGCCTCGGATCCACTTTGGATTCATTCTTTTTGATGTCACAGCTTAAAACTCACTACTGGAAGGAACTGGCACTCGGGTATCTCTTTCACTTTAGACAAAGACACACTCCACCAAAAGCATCAAGCTGGGCACAGCAGAGGATGTCACAGATTGTCTGCAGTGTAGCTGGGGAGGCTGAACATACCCACAGGTGATGCAAGGCAGATTCCAACAATCACAGGAGCAAACAAAGAATTCTGGAGACTCAAAAACTTTCTGGAAAAGGGACACCTACACTAGGACTTAGTGGGCAGACAGAGAGTAATTCCAGCAAGATTCACAAAAGACAGATGGGATAATGTGAAAAAACTTATGACATTGCATCAATATTATTTATCTATGCAAAAATTCTTTTATTCTAATTTTAGTAATGTAGGTTGATTTGGCATTTGATAGATTTAGTTGATTTATCAGATTTTGGCTTTGCTTTATGTTGAAGGGTGGTCATTTCAATTGCTGTTTCAAATTATTGGTGGATGTTGCTTTCACTTGTGTATTCTTAATTCAATTTTGCTATAAAATTATGCATGTCAGCTAGGTTTTCAAATGTATTCAAAGCACTTATTGTAGTGTGCCATTTTTAGAAATCCACTCTAGTTACAGAAAGAAAATGCTGCATGATCTCACATGTGGAATCTAAAAACATTGAATAGTAAAAAGAGATTGTTGAACAATGATTATCAGAGATGGAGAATAGGTGAAATTGGGTATGTTGGTCAAAGGGTTAAGAGTTGCAGTGTTGTAAAACGAGTAAGCCTAGAGATATAAGAAACAGCATGAGAACTATAGTAATACTATATTCTACATGGCAAATTTGCCAACAAAGTAGAGTTGGGGAGCTCTTGCCATAAAATTAAAGGTAATTTATTTTACATATTCACATGCAATAATGGATACTTTAAGTTGCTTGATAGTAGTAATCATTTCACTCTGTATAGATATCAAAGCATTATATTATATACCTTAAATATACAGTAAACATAAATGCCAGCTGGTGTGATGGTGCATTCCTTTAATCCCAGTGTTCAGGAGGCTGAAGCAAGAGGATCACTGTGAGATTAATAAAATTAACTTAGTCTGTTATACTTTTGTCACAATTGTAATCTCTTGGTTGTCGTGCTCAGCATTAGATCTCTTCATAGGCTTTGGGTTGCAGGTGTACAAGCCTACTTTCTGAAAATTAGATATAGTTGTATCGTTCTCCCCTTCTCTGCAACTTCCCAGCCTAGACGCCACCCTCACCACTCCATCTGATGATGGCATGGCTTGAGGTAGCCTCCCACCAGATCCTAACTTCCAAATCTTTGAATGATAATACTATGCACATTTCACTGAGACAGTGTCTTAGTTACTTTTCTTGAGTTGCTAAGACAAAATACCTGATGCCCAAAGTTAAGGAAGGAAAGGTTTATTTAGCTAACAGTTTGTGGAGGTTTCAGTCCATACTCAGCTGGCTCCAAGGCAGAGTGGCACATGGCAGAGGGCAACAGTTCATGGAGGCAGAACAGCAAAGCAACAAAAGCAAAAGGGAGCAAAGGCAGGAAGCAGCCTCTTTCCCTCCCTTACATTGTATGCAAACTACCCACCCTAGGGCAGGTGTAGCACTCACACCCATAATTCCAGCATTGGATCATGGATCAATCACAAATCCTAGAAGCTCACCCCATGACTGCATGAGGATTTGGGGGCACATGCAGACACAAACCATAACAGACAGGTATTTTATACGTTAGAGTATGAATTTCCCAAGGGCAGAGAATATCCTCTTCTTTTCTTCATTAGCAGCACCCAGAATAAAACAGACATATAAAGTCAATCATGTTCTAAAATTCATATAAAACCAACATGGTCCTCTATGCATGGTAGCAAAGATTCTGTTCTTGGCTAGTAATTTGAAGCAGCATAACAGGGCTCAGATTTGCACACTATGCCTGACATAATTAGATTGTTTTTTCCTGATTGTTGATTCATGGTAGTTTCTTTTTCTCCAATACCTTACAATCACATTTTCATTGAGCCTTGTGTCAGAGAATTATCTGTGCTCATTTCTCTTTGATGGCAACAAGAGGAAAGTGACTATCTGACTCTGAATACATGCTGAAAACCAGCAGGGGAGATGGAGCCTCCGTGAGCATGTTTCTGTTCAGACAAGTTACAAGCTGCTCCCTAATGATGTGTTATAACAGGTAGAGTTAAAATAGGGTTAAGAAAGAGTAAGTACTAATTAAAGACCAGTGCAACCTCTCTGAAGGATGCCCTATTTATCACACACAAGGTACAATTACTCTTTCTAACTTTCTTGGCTTTGGGTAGAGTAGTCAACAGATATCAGATTGCTGTTTTCCAGAGCGTGGAAACCCATGGCAGGAATTCCAGCTGAGCTTGTAGATAATTCTTCACTCCCAACACTGTCACAGATAAGTGGTCAAGTATGCAACATGAGATCAATATCTGACTGCCCTGGAAATCTCAAACTGTCTAAATCTGATTCCAGTCTGGTATTATAAAGCATTTGAGTGGACCCACAAGACGTCAGGGATTTTAAATATATTGTAATATGAATATACAGTATACATGGACCAATATATGTGCCACATTAAGCATAGATAAATCACTCCTAAAAACGAATGCTGAAAGTGAATATGTGTAGCAGATATTCAAATAGGTATAACGATATCTTTTGGTATACTGTTCCGTTGTAAAACTTTCATGAAAATTACCAATTAGTCACTAAGTATTTCTGAGCGTTTGCAAGTAATCTGTAAAGTGTGAGCAATAATATCTAAATGTATTTGAAATCCATTCCAGGTTCAATATATGTAATTTAATTATTTTTCTTAAATTTTATACTTCTCCGAGTCATATGTAAATATTCCTCAAACTTTGGTTGGGTTAAATCTTGATAAATGATAAATCAATCATACACTGAAAATATGCTAAGTCAAAAATGCATTCAGTGCACCTAATCTTCTAAATATCCCAGCTTAGCAGTGCAGAACACTATAGACAATCAATTGCTCAGCTTTGACATCATGTGTCTGGTTAGGAGCTGCTACTTATTGCTTCTGCCTAGCATTTCAAGTGAGCACTGTCTATTTTCACACAGCATATCACTAGACCAGGAAAAAGTCCAAATTCCAAGTATGACACTCTACTTAATGCGTACTAGTTTTGCACCATCATAATACTGAAAAATCATTAAGTTGACCCATATAAAGCATCTTTATAATCTATCAATCATCATCATTGCCTCTAGAGCTAGGAAATAAATCATTGGGATGATATTTGTCAGTTCAAAAGATCAGCAGGAAACATGAGCTTTGCTTTGATAAGTATGATTCTCAGAAAAAAAATTCCAGGACAGACATGGTATCTTCTGGAAACTCATCACCTGATCTGGGGCATGGGAAAAGGTAACAGACTCGAAATAATCATGGACTAAGGAGCTGGTATTAGCACAGGCACACTCCCCAGAACTGAGTGTCTGTTCTGTTAAGCACCTCTAATTAACAGGGACATTATAAAGAGTCTGCCTGCTAACAAGCAGGCTGCTCAGTTCTCCGTGAAGAAAGATGCGCTTAGCATATAGGAAGAGTAATGACAATAAAATATGTTGACCAGAAACCCTGGCCCTCATCTCTTTCGAGGAATGAGTGACAGGTTTGGAGTACTCTGTTATACTGAGCCCTGGCTCACAGGCTTTCCCACAACCCTGTATTTCAGTCTGTGTTATGTGATCTAATGTATTTCATCCTAAGAACTGTTGCACTTTGGGGAAGTTACTCCTAGGTGCAAGGCTTTGAAGGTAGCAAGAAACTAACATATATAAGAAGAGAAGTAACTGCCAGGACACACCATGTGCAGGAGATGGTGAAGACCTGCTATTGACTGTGCCCCGTTCTTCAGTCTAAAGTCTCAAGTGGGAATGATGTGATGGGCTAGTCCTAGGCCACTACATAGCTGAAGAGAGATAGAAAAAAATTCATATCCTTGTAGCAGAAATCACTGCCTTTTTGGATCTGTTCTCCCTTGTTTTTAACATCCATTGAGCATATCCACTCAACTAGAGACTACATTTCTCAAACTCTTGCAGCAGCAATGTTGGGCCAGTGAAAGATGAGATATATATTGCTCAACTTCAAGGTTGTCTCCTGAGAGACTAAGCCACTTGGCTTGGACTTCCTTTTTCACTTACTGGCTGGGAAATAGTAACTTTAGAAAACTTCTTAGAAGCCAGGATGTGAGAATAGTTAGGCAACCAGGGAAGGTCTACAAGTCCACTGTCATTCATAGGCTCCAACTAGTTTTTATAGAGACCACTCAACTATCACTCATGCATTCTTTCTATCTTTAAAAGAAGCAAGAAAATCAACCACTTTCCCAAACTCCAATTTTTAAAAACTTTATTATGTTGGCTATGAAGCTGGAGTGTGGTATGGCAAGGAATCGTTCTAGAAGCTTCCTCCAGGACCATCATATACGTGCCCCTTGTATACCACCACATTGCAATAATAAAAATGGTTTTCTGCCAACCATTCAGTGTATCAGTTTGTGGTTTACATTTAGGGACCACACTGGTGTTTGTTAGGATTAATAGACAGAAGAAGTATGAGCAAGAACTGAGTCAGGCTTCTGTTAATGACCTGAGTATTATACATCACACCCTAACAATGATTTCAAATGACATTTCTGATCCCTGAGAATTAACTTCAACATTGGACTTCTGATTGGAGGCCTTCACATTGTCTATATATTCCCAGTCCACAGTAAGTGCCCCTAAAACCCCTTT